TCTCCTATTCTTTGGCCTTCAAATCATCTTCTGGCAATATGTTGCAGTCTAATTATGTATAAAGTACTTTTATTCTTTTGACCTTCTGCCTGGCATTTAATTTTTTGCCCTTTTCTCATTCTCCCGTTGTGAGACTTAGGTAATAGAGCTGCTGATTTCCCTTGTCCTAGCCAGTCATAACTTTACAGAACTCATTGAAGCTGCACAAGTTTTCTCTCCTCCACCTTGCAATAGTTTTGTTTCATCTTTCTTCCTATAGAAGGTATTCCAGATCTTTGAGTATCTGTGCTGCCTTTTACCTTTCCTGAGTTGGTTTTATGGCTTTGTGATAGAGAAGCCAGTATCACATGCAGCACTCAGGGTGTGAACGCACAGTACAGGTGTACCCTATGGTATAAGTTATGCCCATCTCTTGTCCTTATCCATTTTTAATTACTTCTGACATTCATCTTCCTTCTCCAACCATCACAAGCCCAGAGCCAACACCTCAGCAAACTGCTCAGGATGACTCCAGATGTCTCTTCTGAGTGGTAGCCAATTTAGGACCCCTTGTTGTGGCTGTATAATCTTCTACATGCAGTATTTTGCATTTGTCAGGAGCTTGTTTGTCATATAACCTATTCTCTAGGAATAATGAGAGCTTTCTTTCACGGTCAACTTTGGGTTGTTTGGTATTTTTTTCTCTGGGTGATTGAATACTCTTGGCCTTTTTTTCATTTTGGATATACAACATCTTCTGTAAATGATATATGAATATGTTCATCAGACCCAGCCAGTACTAATTGCATGATCTTTCTCATTTCAGTCTTGGAATACTTGCTGCAAATTGCAAATAAGATTAGAAACTTTAGCAAATATTAGTCAGATTGAAAATTTATAATATAAATTTTCTTTAGGAGTTTTTGGTGAAGGATTGGGCTGTGTGTTTTTTGAGATTTGAGGTGGCCGGGTTGACCAGCTCACTGGTGTCTACATGGTTATTGACTTCACCAAGATCTTGAGGAAATATCCGTGAGAGGACATGGCATCTCTCTGCAAAAATGGCAGCTAGGGCTGCCAGCTGTGTGCGCGTTTGCTCTGCGGGCCGGCGGGTTACCGGCGGGTTA